CCGCAAGCTGCGTGGCATCGAGCTTCGCGGGCTTGGGCATGGCTGCTTTGGGCGGCCCGCTGGCCCGCTTTCCTTGTGCAGGCCGAGGAGGAGGAGGAGAGCTAGGCACAGAAGGACGCTCGGCAACACACTTGTAGCAAAACTTCTTGGACGAGAAATTTGTCTTGAAGCCGCACTCCTTCTTGGGACAGCACCAGACATCGCCGCGGCTGGGACTACCCATGGAAGGTGCGAGCAGGGGAAATATGCTCCACCAGGAGCTCACAAAAAGAGTACGCAAAGTGGACTAACAGGCTGAGATGCTGGAAACTGCTGGGGGCCGCAAATCCCCCTCGCCAGACAGGTCAGGTCCTGAGCGAAACGCTACAGACTTTGACCAAAATAGCTACGGATCTAGACATGTTCCTCCTCCTCTTCTTCCTCCTCCTCCTCCTCCTCCTCCTCCTCCTCCCCCTCCTCCTCCCCATCCCCATCCTCATCCTATTCCCCCTCCCCCTCCACATCCCCACCTCTCCATCCTCCACCACCATTTCCTGTACCTCTTCATCCCTTCCTCCACATCTTCGTTCACAGGCAGCTCTGGGGAGAAGGAGGAGGACGGCGAAGGCGGGAGACTAGAGATGAAGAAGACAAATATTGGACGACGGCGAAAAAGACGACGACGACGGCGACGACGGCGACGACGACGGCGACGACGGCGACGACGACGGCGACGACGGCGGCGACGACGACGACGACGACGGACACCGCACGGCTGGGGCCGCCGCGGCTCGCGTGCGCGTGCGCGGGGTGACTGGCGACAGGGAGCGCTCGTCCTGGCCGGGGGGACGGGGCCCGGGGCGGAGGCGGCGGCGGCGAGGCCCGTGCATGTGAGGGCGGCACGGGCCTGCTCCGCCCGAGCCTCGACCCGCGCGCGGCTCCACTCGCACGGCTCGGGCCGCCCAGCCCGGCTCGCACGGAGCTCGACTCGCCCGAGTCTCGACCCGCACGGCTCGAGTTGCCCAGGCTCAGCTCGCCCGAGTCTCGAGGCGCCCGAGTCTCGCTGCGCCCGAGTCTCGATTCGCCCGGCACAGTTCGCACGGCTGCATTCGCCGGGCTCGATTCGCAGGGGGCTCGATTCGCCCGGCTCGAAACATGTGTTTTCACATGGCGATGTATTGATGGTTGGCGCCAGGCCAACGGAACGGACAAAGAAACGCGAGCGGGGCGAGAAATTGAAGGAGGAAGGGGCGAGGTAGGGGGCGGGGAGTCGCACGTGGACCACGAAGGGCCGGTGGGAAAAGGAGGGAAGGCGGACTTGTAAAGGGGCACCCAGGAAGGCTCCGAGAGGGCCTTGAGAAGGCCGCTTTCTGGATGTTCCTGAAGCTGCGTTTCGGAATGCCTCCTGGGAGCATCTGGGAGGGGCCTGTTGGGGTTCTTTCGAGCCCTCATGGACCTATGCCCACGTCCTCCGAGGCTCACGAGTGGAACCCTGGGAGGACCCAGGAGCGGCTCAAGAGGAGACATGATGAAGCCATGCAAGAGAGCTCTCCTTTGACTTCGTGTTGACTCCTCTTGGGCCTCTCTTGGAGCCCTCCTGGGGCCCTCCGACCCCCCCACCCCCGGCGCCGTCTCAGAGAGCCCCGAGGGGGTCCCAAGAGGGGGCCGGCGGAGTCACGACAATCTCACGCGAGAGGGCACCTGTGTGATTTCATGATGGCTCCTTTTGAGCCACTCCTGGGGCCTTTTTGAATGCTGTCTTGGAGGGTCCGGAACTCGAGGCCCAGGAATCTGGCCGCGCGCTAAAATTGGCATGACATTTTCGCAAGGTCTTTCAATCTCTGCCGGACCCATCCAGCTCCAGACCGAGTGGAGAACCGATGTTTCGAATTCTCCCGCCCACGATCGCCCCGCAATTCCCAGGCCCACCTCGGGGATTGCCGACGCTATCCGGCCAACCGTCCTGACCCAGAAACTTACACTTTGAAACTGTGCACTCTCATTCCTTCGGGAGTGCGCAAACATGGATTAGCGATCCATGGATTGGGCGCACGGTCGCCAAATCCATGGATCGGGGGAAGTCCCCTCCCCAACATGCGGCCGGTGCCGCCTCGCTCGGCAGCGGAGATCCGCGATTGCCCATCGAAACGGGGCCCGTGGCTAATCCACGCCCCCCTGATCCATGTGTTGCGATCGCCTGTAATCTCCCCCCTGGCCCCATGCCGACAGCGCGCGAAGATCCCCCCCCGTCCCGCTGGTCGAAGGAGGGGCTCCACGCCCCAGGAAGAGCTCTGCATCCCCCGTCTCAACAGGGGGGGGGGGCCCAGGGGGGAGTCCTTTTCCTCCTCCTCCTCCTCCTCCTCCTCCTCCTCCTCCTCCTAATCTCCTCCTTCTCCTCCTCCTCCTCCTCCTCCTCCTCCTCCTCCTCCTCCTCCTCCTCCTCCTCCTAATATCCGCCTCCTCCTAATATCCGCCTCCTCCTCCTCCTCCTCCTCCTCCTCCTCCTCCTCCCCCTCCTGGTCGTCGTTGACGTCGTTCAGGGTCGGCGGCACCGTCCGTCAGGCCTTCGCAATCATGGTTGCCAGAGAAATGCTTGGGCGCTCGAGTGAACGAGTTGCTCGCGTCAGCGCGGGGGATCCTCTGGTGAGCTGAGCCTATCTCTTTTTCTCGACCACCAGCCCTCCCTCGAAGCCCTCCTGGGCTTCTTGGTGGGCCTCCCAGGACTTCCGCGGACCCCTCGGAAAGCTCTGGGAGAGTCCCAAAAAGGTCCGAGAGCCCCAAAGGGCGCCCTCCCAGATGCTCCCAGGAAGCCTTCCGAAACGGAGTGCCGAGAGCTTCTAGAAGGGGCCTTCTTGGGGCCTTCTTGGGGATTCTTGGATGCCTCCGAAGGTTAGGTCAGGAATGTCCTCCTACATGCGGATTGTGGACGAAAAATTATAAGCAGTCAAACAATATTCAAAAATATTCAACAATAGTCGAAACATCGTCCCCTGACTATGTTTTGTTGACTGTTTTGAATACTCCTCATGCAGAAGGGCATGCCCGACTTGCTCCCAGGGCTTCCCTGGGACCTTCCGGAGGGCCTCGGGGGAGCTCCAAGAAGGCCCGAGAGAAGCCCAAGAAGGCCCCTCCTGACGCCGCCCGATGTTTCTCGCGCCGTACGCAGTGAGGGCGACGTGCCGCCAGGGCACGGCTTGCTCGATGCGGGGCACCGCCAGGCATTTTAGCCACGGCAATCTCTGCACGGCTCCGTGCCGCGGACGGCGCAGTGCCGCGAAAAAAAAAAACTCGGCGGGTTCCGCACGCCCCGGGAGGCCATCCCTCGGAGGAGGGCCGGATGGAGATACAGTCGGCCCGTATCAGAAGGATGCGCGATAAGGATGCGGGGGGCCTTGGAGGCCCACGTGATCACTCTTCGAACGAGGCTGGCCAACGAAAGTCGCTGAGGGTGGGCCGAAGGAGCAAGGATGCAAGGGTCTTCTTGGGAAGGCTGCCCGTCCTTACCATGCGGATCGACTGTCAACGGCGGCACCCCCTGGCGCTCTACAGCCTCGCTGGCCCTCCTGGAAGCTGCGCATCACCACGGCTGGGTCCGCCCGGGAAGAATAGCCAGAATGAACGCGGGAAGGTTTTTCTTGAGGGGGGCCAGGCTTTCTTGAGGGGGCCCAGGAACGCACAAAAAAACATGCATCCCAGGACCCCCTATATGTTTCAATAGCTTCTGATTGTGCGTCTTCCCTCCCCTGCTCCTCCCATGTGTTCCCCCTCCTCTCCTGAGCATCGAAGGTTCTTGGTGTCTGTGCTTTTTTCCTCTCCTGATCTTCTTTCTGTCAAGGGGCCCAAGGACACACACACATATATATATATATATATATATATATATACGCACAAATAAAAGGATTCCCTATATTTTCCTATATTTTCTGGGTTTTTTTGTCTTCCCGCCAGATTCCCATATTTTTCCATATTTTCTGGGGGATCGACGAGTAGTTGTGTCTGTGTGTTTTTCCCCTCCTGATTCTGGGGGGGGGGTCCGGGGACCGATCTGGCACAGATCTGGGCCGGGCGGGGGGGAGCCGCCGTTGTCTCGGCTTGCCCTCCTCATATGTCTGCCTCGGCGAGGGCGCACCCACGAATAAGGGAAGAGGAAGACGTAGCGGCACGCACAAGGGGGTACAGTGCGGGCGCGGTCGCAAGAAACCCTCGCAAGAAACCCAACCCTGGAAACCCGCGCGCGAGGTGCACCTGAGGGAAAAAACCCGAGCATCCTGAACGAATCAGCTCCTTTGACGGCCGCAGGAAGTCATCGCGCAGCGCGCGGAACGAAGAAACCCAGGGTACCCTGACGAAACTCTGATGGTTTCTTGATGCGCGCCCCCACTGTAGGGGGAGGGGGGAAGGCTTCCAAGAACTCTCAGAAGGGGGCTGCTTCCAGGAGGGCGCCAGCCCTACAGCTACAGGCAAGGCCCGCGCCTTCTAGGAAGCAGGGGCGCTTCTGAGGAGCCTTCCCCCCTGGCACTGCCCCCCTTGGCGCGTGGCCGAAGAGAACTGCATCAACATAAACTTTTGGCGTTCCGCGCGGATCCCTTGGATCCGCGCTGGGCCCCCCCCCCCTTCCTGGCGCGCGCAGCGCGCCAGGGGCGGCGCCGGAGACGCCGCCAGGGGGATCCGCACGGAGCGCCAAGAGTTTATGTTTATGTCGTTTTCTTTGTCGATGTATGAGGCTTCCCTTTTTCTTTCGAAGAAAAAAGGAAAAGGGACAGAGACCAGCTCGGGTGGCCAGCTCACCCAGAGCCAGGCCCTGGAGAAGCAGCTCCCACGGCACCCGTGCAGAGCTGCCCCCCGCGCTGCATCCCCCGCACGCTCACCGTGTCAAGGCCCACCGTCTCGGAGAGCCGGCACCTGTGCGCAGCGGGCTGCAAATTGAGATGGACCTCCGAGGTGTCCCGGGGCTCGCCGCCGCGCCCAGGCGGGGGACTCCCAGCGGGCGGCGGGCGGCGCGCACGGGCGGGCGCCCGCCGCTACTGCTGCTGCTGCCAGGCGGCCTTGCCCTCGAGGAGGTCCAGGCACTCGTTCCACTTCTCCTTGGTCTTCAGGGGGTGGAAGGCCGCCCTGTTCTCCTCGGGGGAGCAAGCAGCTGCATGAGCATGGACTCTCGGAGGTCCGCGGGTAGTTCTTGGATCTGCGCTGAACCCCCTCCCTGGCGCGAGGGGCTCGCAGCGGGGACCCAGCGCGGATCCAAGAAATCCGCGCGGACCTCCGTAAAGTAATGTTTGTGCCGCTTGTTTTTCCTGTATCTTCGGGGGCGTCCAAGAGGGGGGCGTCCAAGAGTGGGGGGGGGGGCGCAACTCATGGCCGGCGGCACGTGCGCGGCCCAGGGGGGGGGGGCCAGGGACGCATCGAAGTAAGACGAGGCGCCATGAAATCTTGGGAGATATCATTGCAGCCGAATAATACAGTGGAGGCTAGCCCACAAAGAACCTTCCACAATATGGGCATGGGCCGGCATGGGTCTCCATTGTATCCGACGCCCCCTGGTCGTCACATCGAGGATCCACTGACCCGGGTCAATCCAGACCCGGGTCAGTCGGGCCTTGCAGGATCCTGCAAGCACCTGCAGGATCCTGCACCTAAGCCCGGCTCAGTGCACCCCTGGCACTGCAGGATCCTGCAAGATCTGGCGCTCTGACTGACCCCCGGTTGCATTGACCACCGTCTCCTGAACCCCGATCACCCCCCTCTTTGCCGCCCCAAGAAGCCCAGGGCACCCTGGAAGTCCAGGGAACCCTGGAGGCAAGAAGGACGTCCCTTGGCATGGGCCTCCACTGCTTCCGACGCCGCCTGGTCGTCCCTCCTCCTCCTCCTCCTCCTCCTCCTCCTCCTCCCTCCTCCTCCTCCTCCTCCTCCTCCCCTCGCCGCCCCAAGAGATCTCCTGCAGGCAGGCCCCCGCGCCGTTGTCCGGGAAGAAGAGCCGCCGGCCCCGGGGCCCCTCCCCGGGGCCCTCCGCCCCTGCTCCGCGCCGGAGAGGCGGCGGGGCCTTGGGGAACCCCTGCTCCGCGCAGGGGGCGCCGGCTCCGCACGGGGCCCGGAGGAGCCGTCGCCGTCCGCGCCGTCGCCGTCGTCGCGTCGCCGTCGCCGTCGCCGTCGCCGTCGACGCCCCACGAGGCCAGTGAGGGGCCCCAGCATCGCCGCGGCACGACTCGGTGGTGTGCGGGCTTTCCCCTCTGGGGGTTGGGGGCGGGCGCCCACCACGCTCCCGCTCTGCGGGCTCGATGGGTCCGCTCGGGCTGCCAGACTGCCCGTCCTCTTTTCCTCCTCCTCCTCCTCCTCCTCCTCCTCCTCCTCCTCCTCCTCTTCCTCCTCCTCCTCCTCCTCCTCCTCATCCTCATCCTCATCCTCCTGCGCCTCCTCCTGCTCCTCTCCTCCTCCTCCTCCTCCTCCTCCTCCTCCTCCTCCTCCTCCTCCTCCTCCTCCACCTCCACCTCATCCTCCTCCTTCTCCTGCTCCTGCTCCTACTCCTGCTCCTGCTCCTGCTCCTAGTTCTCCTCCTCGTCCCCAGGGCTGTGGGGAGGGGCGGGAGCAGGAATCGAGCAGTTACACAGGTCCATCACCCTCGACGACGACGACGACGACGACGACGACGACGACGACGACGACGAATACGACGACGACGACGACGACGACGACGACGACGACGACGACGACGGCGGCGGCGGCGGCCGCGGCGGCGGCGGCCGCGGCGGCGGCGGCGGCGGCGGCGACGACGACGACGACGACTACGATAACGACCACGAAAAGAGCAGGAGGGAGACGAGGAGGAGGAGGAGGAGGAGGAGGAGGAGGAGGAGGAGGAGGAGGAGGAGCAAGAGGAGGATGAGGAGGAGCAGTGATGAGGAGGAGGAAGAGGATACGGCACTGCCAAGGGAAGCGTCGCGCGGTGCACGAGGGATGAGGAGGAGGAGGAGGAGGAGGAGGAGGAGGAGGAGGAGGAGGATGGGGGAGGGGGAGGAGGAGGAGGAGGAGGAGGAGGAGGAGGAAAAGGCGGAGGCGGAGGAGGAGGAGGAGGAGGAGAAGAAGAAAGAGGCCTCCTCCCTTCCTCCCTCCCTCCCTGCCCCCATCGTCTCGCTGTACGGTCGTCCTGATCCGAAAGGGAGGGGCCAGCGGGTGCTGCGCGGGCCTACTGGTCTCCGCCCGCGTGTCGAGTGACGGACGACCGTGGGCCGAGGGGCGCGTGAGAGCTCGGTGTAGTCAAGTCCATCTTCGGAGGCAACTCATGGGAGCCTCCCATACCATCTTGTCGGCTCTTGCGAACCGACACGAATCGACGCTGAATCGACGCTCATCGACGCTCATCGACGCTAACCGACTCTACCTCATCGACTCCCAGGCGCTAATCGAAGCGATTCGACGCTAAAGACAGAATTACGAGGGTACAGAAGGCTCCGATGATTTGCGACCGAATCCATCGTAAGGATGCAAGGTAAGGATGCAACGCCCTTGGAAAGCGCATTTACCATGGAGGGCCCTTGGACGTCAGCATTGGCTCAGGATGGGTCGAGGGCGCAGGGACGCACGTATAGCACTGATGGAGCAAAGCAGTCTTACTATGGATGTTGATTATATGAGGTCAGTCTGGCGCCGTACCTCCCCTCTCTTTTTTTCCGTCCCCCCCCCCATCCCCCACCAACCCCTCAGAGAGCCTCCGCGACTCCTCCCGTCTTCACCAAGACGCGCCTGCGAACTCTTGTCCTTGCCAAGGATGGTTCCACTCTGGTCCAATATGGCCCCAGTGTGGCTCAAGACAGAGGGCCTCCTCCACCATAGAAGCGCGCTGCAAAGGCCCAGAGCGAGAGAGAGCTCCTCCCGCATGGCTCGGGAGAGAGCCCCGGGTGGGGCCCACGGGAGCCCAGAACACGGTCCAACATGAACGGCAAACTTTGGAGGGTGAAAGTGGGGGTCGGGCGCAAGGTCCCAGAAATGGTCTTTATGGGCCATGAATGGGCGATGCATCCTCGATTGCTGTGTTTGTTCGGCGGGGGTGCCAATCCCACCAGCCCTCTGGGCGTAGGTGGTTTAGGGAGTTTCCTCTTCCAACCCTTTTTCTTCCCCTTCGGGGAGGGGTGTACCCCTCCCCCTACCCCCTACCCTGGACCTGGACGGGAGATTTCGCTGGTAGTTGGAGCGTACAATATGGCCCAAGATGGCTCCAAGAGCGCCTCGGGGAGCCCAAGGTGAGTTCCAAGATTGCTCAAGCTAGCCTCAGATGCCTCAAGATGGCTCCGCAGATGCTCCAATAGGCCCGAAGACCGCCCCAAGACGGCTCCAAGAGGCCAACTAGCTTTCTCAGGAGGCCTCCAAGAGGCCAAAATCCTTCAAACACCTAAGGAAAATCAATGTTGTTTGCTTTCTCCCCTTTTCGCTTCCGATGGCCTTCCGAGGCCTCAAGATGGCTCCAAGAGGGCCCAAGATAGCCCCAAGAGGGGCCCAAGATGGCCTCAAGACGGCCCCAAGAGCGCCCAAGAGCGCTCCAAGAGCGCTCCAAGATGAGCCCCAGAGGCGATTTTAGAGGATCTAGAGGGGCAGGGCTACTTAACCCCACCCTCTTCTTTGATCGATCGCTTCCAAGATGGCCCCAAGAGGCGCCCAGGAGGCCCCAAGAGGCGCCAAAACGGCCCCAAGATGGCCCCAAGATGGCCACAAGAGGTCCCCAAGAGGCTCCCCGAGGCAGCCAAGACGCCCCAAGAGGCCTCCGGGACCGCCAAGACGCTCCCGAGACGCCCCAAAAGGCCATCAGGACGCTCCCAAGAGACATCCGAAGAGACTCCGAAAGGCATCCAAGAGGCCTCTGGCCATTCTGCTCGCCCTTCTCCTCATCCTCCTCCTCATTTTCGTCCTGCTCCTCCTCCTCCTCCTCCTCCTCCTCCTCCTCCTCCTCCTCCTCCTCCTCCCCCTCCTTTTCCTCCTCCTCCTCCTCATCATCATCCGCCTAATTATGGCTCCTCCTCCCTCCTCCTCCTCCGCTCCCCCTCCTCCTCCTTCAGTTCCTCCTCCTCCTCCTCCTCCTCCTCCTCCTCCTCCTCCTCCTCCTCCTCCTCCTCCTCCTCCTCCTCCTCCTCCTCCTCCGATTTCTCCTCCATCCTCGCCGTCTTGGGTAAGACGGGTCCCCCAGCCCTTTGTTACTCTGTATGTTCCCTCACTTCCCTGATCACCTCCATTCGCCTGGGCATCGTTACTGGATGGGCTGGTGGGGATACTTTTTTGATTGGCGGCTCCAAGGACAGATCCAAGAAGCGGGACGGACTCGACTCGGGCACAGGGCGAGATAATTAGCTGCAGGGGCGCACAGGCCGCTGTAGCGAGTGCACATGCCAGGGACAAAATGACCCTCATTGGGGGCTGACGCTGGCGGCCCGACAGAGGGCGACGCAAGCACAATACTGGAGGCGGACGGAAAGGAGCTGTCGCACACGTGGCCCCATGCTCCGACCGTACCGAACAGCGCGAAAGGCGTGGGGCACGCCGCGCTGTGGCGGCACGGGGTGGCCAGGCGTGGCCGCACCGTCCAAGCAACAGGTGAAGCAAAGGAACAGGAGAGACACGGCGGGCGCAAGGGCACGCGGCAGCAGGAAAAGGGGAGAGCACAGATGGAAGCCTCACTCACAGTGACTCATAGGACGCTCTTGGGCATGAGAGCGACCAGTACCCAGTCAAGGAACAGTCGACCGTGTCGTCTGCGTCCACAGCCTGCGACTTGTCCGACGCTGAAGATCGGGGGCGTCAAGCTGCAAGCACTGGTCAAGTCACCTGGCCCAGCCTGCAGAGAGAACCGTGATGATCTGCCAAAGGATGAACCACTTGTGCAGGAGCTTGAACGCGAAGGCGACAACCACAGTCAGGGACCCTGTCGTCGACGTCGCCGGCGTTCACCGCGAGCAACTTATCCGACACAAAGAGTCGGGGGCACAAAGTCGCAAGCGTAAGCCGGGACACGTATGACGGACCTGCCGGGGGATCCGCGGTGACCTGCCAAAGGATGAACCACTTGTGCAGGACCACGCCCAAACCAGGCCCGAAATCGGGTGGTACCAGAAGCGGCGAGGTGCGCCGGTCTGCACCTTGCCGAAGCCCAGCACCTGG